GTAAGATCATAAATAAATATTTAAATATGAAAACAATAGAGAAAAATCAGTGAACTAAAGCTGGTTCTTTGAAAAGATGAAATTGACAAACTTCTAGCAAAATGGACCAAGAAAGGAAGACACAAATTAACCCTATGAGGAATGTTACAGGGAACATCATTACAGACCCTGAAGACATCAAAACGATAATAAAGGGAATATTATGAACAACTCTATACACATAAATTTAACAACTGGGAAGGAATGGATCACCAAGCAACCCATTACCACAATTCATCCAATAAGAAATAATATTAATAGCCACATAACTACTAAGGAAATTAAATCTGGAATTTTAAAACTCTAAATTTTAAAACTCTAAAAAAGAAACCAGATGATTTCACTGAAGAAGGCTATCAAACATTTAAAAAAGAATTAACACCAATTCTACACACTCTCTTCTAGAAAAAGAAAAGGAGGGAACACTTCCCAATTAATGTTATGAAGCTATTATTACTCTGATACCAGGCCAAGACAATACAAAAAACCTACAGGCCAATATCCCTCATGAATTGACAGAACATCTACAAAAAAATCTGCCTCCCTGATGAAAGACTGAATGCTTTCCCCTCAACATCACAAACAAAGCAAGAACATCTACTCTTTTTTTTTTAAAGATTTTATTTATTTATTTGAGAGAGAGAGAGAATGAGAGAAAGCACGAGAGGGAAGAGGGTCAGAGGGAGATGCAGACTCCCTGCTGAGCAGGAAGCCCGGTGTGGGCCTCGATCCGGGGACTCCAGGATCATGCTTAACCAACTGAGCCACCCAGGCGCCCAAGAACATCTATTCTTACCACTCTTATTCAAATAATGCTACAAGTCCTAAGCAGCACAAATAAGGCAGCAAGAAAAGGCAAACAGATTGGAAAGAAAGAAATAAAACTGTCTCTATGTGCAAATGACACGATTTTCTATGAAGACCATCCCAAGGAATCTACTAGGAATCCCAACTTCAAGAATAAATGAATTCAGCAAGGTCAAAGGACACAAGATAAATATATAAATATCAACTGTATTTCTATATGTTAACATGAATATGTGGATGATAAAATTAAAAATATAATTTACAATTGCTTAAAAAAATGAAATGGGTATAAATCTAACATGCAAGACTTGTATGCTGAAACCTAATACTGATGAAAGAAATGAAAGAAAATATAAAGAAATGGGGAGAGACACCACGTCTGTAAGTTGGAAGACTCAACATACTAGAGATTTCAATTCTCCCTAAACTGATACAGATTTAATGTAATCCCTATTAAAATCCTAGCAAAATTCTTTGTAGATAGAGACAAGACTATTCTAAAATTTATAATGAAAGGCAAAGAAACTAGAATAACCAAATAATTTTTGAAAAAATAAGAACAGGGGCACCTGGGTGGCTCAGTCAGTTAAGCATCTGCCTTCAGCTCAGGTCACGGGATCGAACCCCATTTCGGGTTCCCTGCTTGGTGGCGAGCCTGCTTCTCCCGCTTCTCCCCGCCTGTGCTCTCTCTTACTATCTCTGTCTCTCTTTTAAATAAATAAAATAAATAAATCTTAAAAAAAAAAAAAGAAAAATAAGAATAAAGTGAGAAGTACCAGTCCACTCTATTTCAAGACTTATACAGCTACAAGAATCAAGACTGTGTGCTAATAGGGACCCACAAATAGATCCACACAAATACACTCAACTGCTTTTTGACAAAGTGCAAAAACAATTCAATAGAGGATAGACAGCATTTTTAACAAATGGTGCTGGAGCATCCATAAGCCAAAAAATGACACTTGATCTAAGCCTTACACCTTATACAAAAACTAACTCAAAACGGGTCAGAGGCTTGGGGCGCCTGGGTGGCTCAGTTAGTTAAGAGTCTGACGCTTGTTTTCAGCTCAGGTCATAATCTCAGGGTCATGAGATGGAGCCCTGCAGCGGGGCTCCACCCTCAGCAGGGAGTCTGCTTGAGATTCTCTCTTTCCCTCTCCCTCTGCCCCTTCCTCCGTTCACTCTCTCTAAAATAAATGAATAAAACCTTTAAAAAAAAAAACAATAAACGGGTCATGGGCTTAATGTAAAATAATAAACTATAAAACTTTTAGGAAAAAAATGAGAAAACGTTTGGGATCTAAGGTTAGGCAAAGAGTTCTAAGACTTAACACCAAAAGTATAATCCATTGGAGGAAAACTTGTTAAAACAGATTTTATCAAAATTAAAAACTTTTGCTCTGCAAAGGAGTCTTTTAAGAGGACAAGAAAAAAAAAAACAACAAACTGAGAGAAAACATTTGCAAATTACGTATCAAGAAAGGACTGGCACCAGACATACTTTTAAAAAAGAAAAAAAAACCCTCTAAAATCAACAGTAAAAAAATCCAATTAGCAAACGGGCTAAAGAAATGAAGAGACACGTGTTGTGATGAGCACTAGGTATTATATGCAACTAATGAATCACTGAACACTACATCAAAAACTAATGATGTACTATATGTTGGCTAACTGAACATAATAAAAAAAAAGAAATGAAGAGACATTTCACTGAAGAGAATATGCAGATGACAAATAAGCCCATGAAAAGATGGTAAACATCATTAACCATTACGGAAATGCAAATTAAAACCACATACCTGTCATACATACATACGTATCTATCAAAATGTCTAAATAAAAAATCGGAACACTAAATGCTGATGAGGATTCGGGGAGACTGACCCCACATACATTGCTTTTGGGAATGTAAAATGGTGTAGAAACTCTGGAAAACAATTTTAACAGTTTTTCAACAAAATTAAACATGCGGGACACCCGGGTGGCTCAGCCGGTTAAGCATCTGCCTTCAGCTTAGGTCATGATCCCAGGGTCCTCGGATGGTGTCCCGCATCGGGCTCCTTGCTCAGCCGGGAGTCTGCTTCTCCCTCTGCCGCTCCCCCTGCTCTCTTTTTCTCTCTCTCTGACAAATAAATAAATAAAATCTTTTAAAAAACAAAACAAAAAAACTAAACATGCAACTGCCATGGGAACCAGCAACTATACTCCTGGGCATTTATCCCAGAGAAATGAAGACTTATGTTACATGACATGTTACTGTACTGGAATGTTTACAGCAACATTATTCAGAGTAGCCCAACAATGGAAACAACTAAGTGTCCTTCAAACAAAGTGTGATACAGCCATACCATGGAATACCACTCAGCAATTAAAAGGAGCAAACTAACGACACATGCAAGCACCTGGACGAAATCTCCAGAGAATTTTGCTCCATGGAAAAAAATCCAATCCCAAAAGGTTCCATACTATGTGGTTCCGTTATATAACAGTCTTAAAATGAGAAAATCATAGAAATGAAAAACAGATTAGTGGTTGTCAGGGGTTAAGGAGGAAGTGGGGTAGAAATGAAGTGGATGTGGTATAAATGGACAACCTGAGGGATCCTGTGGTGATGGAAGGTTCTCTATCTTCACAGTTATCAATAGCAATGTCCTGGTTGTGGTCTTGTACTGCAGTTTTGCAAGATGTTATTATTGAAGAAAACTGGATAAAGGGTACAGGGGATCTCTATTATTTACCAACTGCAAAACTACATCTGAATCCTCAATTACCTCAAAATAAAAAGTTAAATTAGAAAATAAAGGTAGCATTATTGCAAAATAAGTACAGCAATTGACAAGAAATCCAACACCAATTAAATGAAGTGCTCTCTTTAGCCCAAGTTTAATTCTCACGATTACTCTGAATCAGAGTTTATAAAACACATTTTCCTCACCCACATACGCACACCAAGCAACTGTAACACAGTTCAGACAGAAAAACAGATTTCTCTAAACAGGTGATAAAAGTGGAAAGAGACCTGGGCTGTATCAGGGAGAAAAGTCCTTATCCAGGCTCTATCAAAGAAACGCTGTATAACTTCCACACATCACCTTACCTCTATGGCTACAATCTGAACTCTGTTCCTACTATCTAAACTAATTTAGGAGATTGCTTAGACCAGTAGTTCCCAAACATTTTGGTCTCAGGCCCCCAAAGAGCTTTCACTTACCTGGATTACAAACAATATTTACAGCATTAGTAGTTAAAAGAGAATTTTTTTAAAAGACAAGTACACACATTAGCCCTCAGAACGGTGAGGTCATCCCACCTCATGTAGTCTCTGGAAAACTCAATGTGTACTTAGAAAGAGGGTGAAAAGGGCAAATAACTGCTTGGTATTGTTAAGAAAATAATTGTGACACCTTGAGAACCACTGGCTTACCATCAAATGAGGTAAATAAGTGATTTTAAAAGTATAAAACATTGAACAAATCATTGAACAAAATATACATTCTTTTAATATTCAAGGGTGCCAAGGCAAAGAAAAAAAAGCTCAAATCCTAATGGAGGACAACTTGGACAAGTGAACAGTTGGTAAAAAGAGGGAGCTTCTTGAAAGTCCAAGGAAGGTGGGCTCCAGTGAGTATAGTCAGGGAAGAGTGTACAACCGTAAAATATTACACTACTATTGCATTAATCTGCTGTGTGCGTCCAAAACCGTTATAAAAATGATGGACCCACAATCACTGTTTCAGATTTAACTTTTGGCGAGACAGGGAAGCAATGAAAAAACTTCCAGCCACTGCAGCACCGCGCTCTCGGCGAGCTGTGGGGGTCCGCCCTGGGCCCCGCTTCTGGGGGCGAGGTACAGCCACGCCGGACGTCTCCTCCGCTGCAGCAGGAGAAAGAGAATCCCCCTATCCCCACCCGGGTCGGACCAGCCGGCCGCGGGAGCCCGGAGAGTGGGCAGTAAGGGCTGGGGAGGGGCGCGGCTCACAGTCGCCGCCTGAACTGGACGCGGCCGGGACTGGGCTGCGGGCCCTGAGCCCCGGGCTAAGGAAATTACGCTGGGACCCCGGGAAAGGCGGGGCGGGGGTCCTGGGAGTTGGGCCCTTGAGGGAGGGGGCGGCGCTGAGCAGCGGAGGGGGCTTGAGGGGTCGACCGGGACTCACCAGGTGCCGCGCCACCTCAGAGGTCATGGTCCCGAGAGAGAGTTGAGCGAAGGCGGGGGTCCCAGTGAAGCGGGGGTCTCAGCCCGGGCCCCCGAGCGAGCGACCGGACCACGAAGGGAGCAAAGGGGGGCCGGAACGGGTGGAACGTGCGGGGCGCGGGCCGGAGGCGGGTGTAACGGGCGGGACCAGCCTCCGCTGGGGGAGGGGGTAGCATGGGGGAGGGGGTGTTCGGGGAAAGGGGAGGAGCCAAGCCTAGTGGCCGCAGTGACGCGAGGGCGCAGAGCCGGAGGGCGGAGGCCCCACCAGGCAGGGCGCGCGCCATTAGCCGCGCCAAATCGTTGAGCGGCGCGCGAAGCGAGCCTCTCATAGGAGTGCCCCTCGACGTCTCATAGAACGACAAATCCATGCAGGGGGAGGGTGACAGGAGGAGATTCGGGAACTGAGGAAGAAAATGCGAGGAAACAAACCTCGGCCAGCGGACAGCAGCGGGCGGGCGCACTGATTGCGGGCCCCCGCGAAGGCCGGAAGTGGGCGGGCCATGGGGCGGGGAGGGGGCGTGTCCGCCGGCGGCCGGCGGGAGCCGAGCTTGCGGCCAAAGCGGGGACCGGAAGTGGGCGGGCTCGGGGGCGGGGTGCAGCCGGCGGGGGCGGGGCCGGCGGGGGCGTGTTCGCCCGGGGCGCGGTCCCAGTTAGGCGGTGGTGGCGTCTCCCGCCGCGGACACCCAGGCACGGACCCTGAGGAGGCAGCCGATTCGACTCTACGTCGGTCAGAAGCCAGCGTTTGGAAGCCGGCCGAAATGGGGCCGGGTTGAGCCGCCCGCCGCCGTCCGAGCAGCGCGGCCAAGGATGGAGGGGCCGGCGGAGCTCAGCACCGAAGCCGTGCTGCGCTTCCTCTCGGAGCGCGGGGGTCGGGCCCGGCACGCCGAGCTGGTGCAGCACTTCAGGGGTGCCCTGGGCGGCGAGCCCGAGCAGCGCACCCGCGCCCGCGCCCTTTTCAAGGAGCTGGTCAATGCGGTGGCCACGGTGCGCACCGACCCTGCCGACGGCTCTAAGTACGTGCACCTTAAGAAGAGGTTCTTGGAGGGGGCCCCACCGTCCGAAGCCGTGCCCCTACGGGACCTGCCCAGCATCTCGGTGACTCCAGAGCCCGAGTCCAGCAGCTGCGCCCCTGGGGCGCCCGACGGCCTGGTCGAGACCCGGGAGAGCGGCCTGTGCGCAGAGGCGGCGTCCCCCGAGGCGTCCCCAAGTCCGCGTTGCGAGCCGAGCGATGGGGAGCCCCCGGCCGCAGCGCTTGGGCAGCCAAGCCCGGCCGGCGAGAGCCGGAACGGGCCGCCCCTGAGCGGCGGTGCCCGGAGGAAAAACTCGCGGCGAGACATGCAACCTCCCCCTCAGGGACCGGTCTCCGGGCCCAGCGAGGACCTGGCGCCCCCGCCCCACGGCTGCGGGGAAATGGACTCGGGCAGCTCCCCCGGGGGGGTAACCACCCCAAGGTCTACCCGCCAGAACCTCCGGGACCTTGTGATGGGCAGCTCCCCGCAGCTGAAGAGGAGCGTCTGTCCCGGGGGGAGCAGCCCGGGGAGCTCCTCTGGGGGAGTACGCGGCAAAGGCGGGGGCGACTCAGACAGCGCATCAGTCGCTTCGTCGTCGGCAGAGGAGGAGAGCAGCGGCGGGGGTTCAGTGACGCTGGACCCTCTAGAACACGCCTGGATGCTCTCAGCCTCTGACGGCAAGTGGGACAGCCTGGAAGGGTTGCTCACCTGCGAGCCCGGCCTGCTCGCCAAGCGAGACTTTATCACCGGCTTCACCTGCCTGCACTGGGCCGCCAAGCACGGCAGGCAGGAGCTCCTGGCCATGCTGGTCAACTTCGCTAACAAACACCAGCTGCCAGTGAACATCAACGCCAGGACAAGCGGAGGCTACACTGCCCTGCACTTAGCTGCCATGCACGGGCACGTGGAGGTGGTGAAGTTGCTGGTGGGGGCTTACGACGCAGACGTGGACATCAGGGACTACAGTGGGAAAAAGGCCTCTCAGTACCTGAGTCAGAGCATCGCGGAGGAAATCAAGAACCTGGTGGGAGCCCTGGACGAGGACGATGGAGAGAGTGCCACTGGCAGCGGGGGTGGGCGTTGGAGGCTTTCAAAGGTGCTCCCTTCACACCTCATCACCTACAAACTCTCACATGTCCTGGAGGATGGAGGGGATCATCACCATCACCACCACCACCACCACCACCACCACCACCACTTGACTGAGGGATGGGCTGGAGCCAAAGCAAAGGATCCAGGTCGCAAGGCCCCTGGCAGCTCTAGCGGACGAATAAAACCCAGACTCAACAAAATCCGCTTCCGCACCCAGATCATCCACACTACACCCTCTTTTAGAGACCCGGAGCAGCCACTGGAGGAGGGGGAGGAGGAAGAGGAGGATCGGCCTCTTAAAGGCCACTCATCCTCATTCAAACTAAGGCCGAAGTCCAATGTATTTGGGTAAAAATAATTCCTTTTAGAAAATTCTAGGTTTATTGGTCTTCAGGAAGAGAATACACAGTGTAGGCAAGGAAGGGAGACCAGAAAAGAGGCTAAATTCTACATTCTTACTTGGGGAGTTGGAATGGGTGGGAGGAATTCCCCCTAGCATTCTGTGTGAAGTAGGTTTCCCAGTGATTTTTTCATCAAACCGTGCCCTAGGCCTCCTTTCCCTATGCCACCCCTTTGCCCTGGAGTCCCTGTTTCTGAGGACTGGAAATGTATTTAAATTGGGTGTACAGAATTGGTGATTGAGGGTTCCTTTGATTTTACCATTACTGGATGCCATGCAAAATAAGGAATATTGCACTTTTATGTTTCTGTTTTTAAAAGTGGTTACTCTTCCAAGAGCAACAAGAAATGCAAGTTGTAATGAAATTGTAAGTGTGAACAAAACTACATACTGCTCTGGTTTTTTGTTTTTTACTAATTGCATTTACCTTTTAAAATACTACTGAAAGTCAGGTCAAAGTTGAAAAGCGACAATACTATTTAGAGAATAATGTGAATAAAAATGGTAACTTGTTTGTATTGTAAGTAGTGCTCAACTATTTTTTTAAAAAGCAATTTCAACTTTAATCACTGAACTAAAGAAATAGGCAACATTCATTTCTGAGGTAATCTATAGTGTGGTTTCCTCTTAACTATCTCTAGTTAATCACTGCAGTCAGTGTTAAGGTACATTATTAATAACTACACAAATTTTTATTTAAAGAGAACACTTAACAACCTATGGTACTTTTAAGTAAAACATTGCCTTTGGCTCTGATTCTCACTAATTTGTTTTGCTATTATAAGTAAATTTGCCAGAGTTTTAATTCTAGGGATCATATAACCATTGGTTTTATTTGACATGACCCTATTTGGTGGTACTTAGATGTGAATTGCCTACAGAATCTGTTTCTGATTTAGACGACTAGCAAAAATTGGCATAAATGTTAGTGAGCCTATGCTTCTGTGAAGTAATTATTAAATCAATGATTCTCACATAAGGTACACTTTTTATTTTACTAATAAAGTACACTCATAGTCTGTGCTTTGTAGCAATGTTTGCAAATGTTTGTAATACTAAAGACTTTCAATTTTCCAATGTTTCCTTGAATTTGTTAGAGACGTACAGTGAAGTTATTGAAAAGCTGGATAGTAAATCTACCCAGTTAAAAATAGCACTTTATAAAAGGGAAAAGAGAAGAGATGGGGCTATTTATTTAAATGCTGCTGGCTATTGAATTCTTTTGTATATAAGTGAAAAATACCTTTCATTAAGATTACAGAGTTAAGTGTAGTTCTTAATCACATTTCATTAAAATTTGTTAGGGTAAACATCTATATAATATAAAATTTAACTCACAAGCATATTAAATCAATTTGTAACAATATTCAAAACAACTTTGTGGGAGACTAATTCTAACAAGTCCTTCTCCCTTAGTCTTTTTGGTCTCCTAACTGCTGAAATGTAAGTACCTGCAGCCCGTAGAGGTATATAAGATGTGTATAAATGTGAATGAACCGGTATATAAATGGCGCAGAACTGGAGACTCAAGAGAGTTCTTAGATCTTTACTTTCCCAAGTCAGAGAAATTTGTATTAAGTTTGTCAACCTTTCTAGATAGCAATTGAATTTGTTTAAAGACATATCAAAAATATTCACATTAAATATATAAGCTATTATCCATTTGTGTGCCTTTTTTTTTTTTAGGATTATGGAATTGGGCTAGGTACATTTGAGAAGCACTTTTATCCATACATATGGGTAAAAACAGTCTAATTTTGTATAAATAGAGGTTCCTTGAAGGTGAAAAGCAGTCATTTGTTTGGAATCATATACACATTACCTGTATCTAGTGCAGAGCAAGCTATATAACTTCCCACCGAGGAATCTGACATTTCTTTTTTTTTTTAAGATTTTATTTATTTATTTGACAGAGAGAGACACAGCAAGAGAAGGAACACAAGCAGGAGGAGTGGGAGAGGGAGAAGCAGGCTTCCTGCAGAGCAGGGAACCTAATGTGGGCTCCATCCCAGGACCCTGGGACCATGACCTGAGCCGAAGGGAGGGGCTTAACAACTGAGCCACCCAGGTGCCCTGGAATCTTACATTTCATTGACATATAAAGCTAAAGTGAACTATAAAAAGTATATACTTAAGAGCCATCTAAATGTTCTATTAAAGTCAGTATTAATCTCGAAATGTATATATTCGTAGCTAATTGCACAAAATCTATAATTTACTGGATCTTCAGAGATTGAGGCAATACTTCATTTAACCTGCTTTTCACAATAAAGATTTTAACTTTTCCAATAAACTCTAAATTTTCAAAAATCATTCCTGAGGGGAACTACTTCTAGCATTCCTTGTCATTATGTGCTTGTGTGCAGTAAGTATAGCATTTTCAGCTACTTAAACTCTATATTCCTCTTATTTTTCAGTTTCCAAATTGAGATTATTAAAAGCAAATGATCTGTGTAATTTGATTTTGTGGAGTTGTGTCTGCCATTATTGGAAATATATATGTCAATTACTTAGATGTTTGTTGATATGAAACTGTGTAGGGTAGGCAACCCAAGTATATCCATGTGTTTCTTATACGTACACTTGAAACTAGTGAGTGGTCACAATTCTCTACCCTTTTATGGTATGTAAAATGCAGCTAGTTTATATAACTTGAAAATCTGGTACTATTTTATTCATGACTGAAATCTTGGGAGTCCAGGATGCCTCGTCTCTTATTTTTTAAACGAGTGAAACTTTGGGAGTTTGTAGAGTGTATAATTTGTAAAAGTTTGTTTTGTCAAAATAAAAGGTTCACACTACATTTTTTCTCTGAATTGTCTAAATCATTGTAGTCCTTTATACTTCTTACCTGTGTAGTGTTTTATAGTCCACACAATGCTTTTCAAAGTTTCCATTTACATAATCCCTTTCCTGTCCCTTAAAGTTGATAAGGGAATGAAGGTTGATGGCTCTTCAGGGTCACGAAGTAAATGTCAGCTAGTAAGATTTTAAGACTCAGTGCTTTTCTACGATATTTTCAGCACTTCAAATTGCCAAATTTGGGCAAAACTACTGTAGTTTGGCTTCAGTGATGGAGGAATCAACTTGGACAGAAGGTAGTACCTTCACCACTACCTTTAAAAAAAACAAAAGCAAAAAACGTATAGTTCATGCACACACCAACTAACCTGAACCCTTCCTACCTAGACCAGATCTTAAAGGTATAAGAATGCCTTTTTCTATTTTCTTCAATATCCATTAAGCTTTGATCATTAATGAGCTCATTTCCTCACCAAATAAATACTTTGATCTTTATTTTAACAAAATTCACCTCTATTCAGATGTCAGAGGGATATGTGGGAAGCCTTGATGTACTTGTCTGCCGTTGCTCTCCTGGGAGGATCCAATTATCATTGCTGCTGGGGATTTTTGTTGTAACTCTTGCTTTATGACAACTTATAAAATATTTTTCCGTACAACTGAAGGACTAAATAAGTCTAGTTTCTGTTTCTAGAATGACTTCTTTCCTTAGAAGTATGTATCTTAGAAGGATTCATTGAACAGTCCACTTGAAGATCTTTGTAATTAGTCCTAGTGAAAAACTGTATTTTGCTAAATAAATGGCAATTATTTGGAGTTTCCTGGAAGTTAATCCTAAAAAAGAAATATTCTGGGAATTTACTGCAAACCATTGTTCCTTCAGAGATGAGTCAAATTTTCATGAATAACATTAGATGTTAAGTTGAAAAATGACACTTTGTGAACTCATTTTTCAAGATTCAGCAGTAGAGTTGTTTGTGTCATAGCCGATTATTTTCCTCTGAAGAATATCACTTTCACATTATACTTTTTTCTCCTTAATCTTCTCTTTAAAACTCAGTTTCACCTTAGGAGTGGCTTCCCCATTCAGTTAAAAAATTGTCTCTTTTTCCACATTTATTGGTGAGGAATGTGGGACAAGTCCCCACCCTTGCACAATACCTGGTGTGTTGAAGGTAAGTGGGTGTTGTTGTTTGTTTTTGTTTTTTTAGTGGAAAACACTAAAATATTTCATAGTGTTACATCATATGGATAATTTCAATGATACACATTTATGCCAAATGAATAAAGGTTAAGTATTTTTCATGGGATCTGGCTCCTAACTGCTAACCAACCACTTCATCTACAGACCAGCCAAAAGAACAATCCTCCAACCCAGGAGGTAAAATCAGCTTTAATAGGATTTTACTTTGTGAGCAACTTAAAAGATTTTCATGAGTAAATTTGATTATAAGAAAGTTTTACCTTACAAGTTAATTCAAGTACATAATCCCTAGGAGAATCTACTTCAACTGACTTTAAATATTCTAAGTATTATCACGTATACAAATGACTACTTTGTGTAACCCCAAAAAGCAAAAGAATAGAGAGGTGAGGTTTAGCTTAGAGGACTTACTAATAATCATTTTAAACATGCCATGGACTGTCTCAGGAGGCCCAACACAGCGCTTGGAAATAATCAGAGGTTATAGGAGCACCTGAGAAGTTAAAATAGATCTAAAGCGCCTTTGTAACTGTTCTGTCTTGATAAACACTGTTCTAGGCCATATCCATTCTGACCAAAGGTTTAGTTAAAACTGGTCTGACTGAATGAAGTAAATTATCCAGTGAAGTAGCATTATATAATTTTTTTAACCCAAATTTATGCTGTTCTGATGAAAGAACCCGGAAGCATGTGTTAGAATACTCTTATGGGTCTCTCAGAACATTTGAATTCCTGAGATTTGACCAGAAGTTTCCAATATCGGTTAATGCGATCCTTGAGTTTTGTCTTAGTCCATCCGGGCTGCTATAACAGAATACCATAGACCGGGTGGCTTATAAACAACAGAAATTCATTTTTCACAGTTATGGAGGCTGGGAAGTTCAAGACCAAGGTTCTGGCAGAATCTGTGTCTGGTTAGAATCTGCTTCCTGCTTCATGTCGACAG